TGGGACATAGCAGAGGGTGGGGGATGGGGAATCAGGGATGGCAAGACAAAGGGCAAGGTATGCAGGACGTAAGAATTGGAAAATTATTTGCTGAGAACATATATGTGGATGTACTTGATTGAGACAATGCACAGTGTATTTTGGATGGAAAATTCATTTGTGTGTTGTGATGGTGTAAAGTGAACTAATTAAAAAAAAAAAAGTTATTTGTTGTGATTTTCAAGCCACTGGGTCTGGATCTCGAACCACAGGCAACTATGTGGGAACCCAGCACCCTAACCACCATGTCACCTAGTCACTCCTTGCTTTTGTTTTCATTGCCAGAAAACATGTGCATTCACCACAGAGATAAAGGAAGAAAGCACTCCTGCTGGGGTGTGGTGGAGCCAAATCCCTTCTCTTCCATTTTTTCCTCTTGCTGTGACTTGGGGCTCACACACAGGCCAGGAGTACGTTCCCAGAGCTGGGAGTGGAGCCATGCAGTCAGCCATGCGGGATCCTGCTCCTTTAGCCAGTAGGCCATGGGCCAGCCTTGCCGGCACTAGAGTGTGCTCACTTCCTTGCATCTTCACCTGGATGAACGTTGTCTCTGTTTCCACCTGTACTCCCCTGACGAGAAACAGTGTCCCACTGTTGCTTCTCTTAACATTCAGTTCATGAGAATGAAGACTTGTTTGTTGACTTTTTCACTGGTGTTCCATAAATTGCTTATGCACAGTTGATCATTTCACCAATAACTTATTTTTGGGGGTGAGATTTTTGCTACAGGGTGCATGTGCTCACCAGAGAGGCAGAAAGTGAGAAGTCACTCCCCCCATCGCCTGCAGAGAGTTGGGTCATGCCATAAGCCCTTCTCTTGGGATTTTGGGCACGCAAGCACATGCACCCAGCATGAGTTTCAAGCCATCAGGCCCAGGAGTCAATAACTGTGGTCAGCACGTGGGAGTCCAGTGATGTAACCAGTACGCCATCTGTTGGTCCTGCCAAAAACTTATTTTACAATTCTCTAGTATATGGGGACAGTGACATGTTTCTTATCAGAATGCAAATCTTATTTCTAGTCTACTCGTTCATTTAACTCTCTGGTCCCGCCATGTGCAGTAAAATAAATCTGTATAGTTTTCCCAATTCTTTGGGAAAAAAGCCATTATCTACCTTAAGGGTGTATAAATCTTTTATTTAAATGTCTATCTTTGCATTGTTTATCAACCGTTGGGGCTAATGTGAGAACTTTCTATATTTAAAAAAAAATTATTTTTAAAGAAAGAAGGCCAAGGGGACATAAAGTAAGACAGTGGGAGGACTTGATGGTTTTAGTTATGAAAACTCATGTTTCAGAAGATGTGATTACGATGTGAGTTCTGGTGTCAGTATAAGCCATTCTCATAAAATGCACAATTAAGTGCACAATGTAAAAACACTCTGATGTGTCTGTTCTATTAATGTGGATAATAAAATTTTACATTTAGGTGCAATGAAGCACTGCGTTGTTTTAGCTGACAGACCACATACGTAACAGTCTCCCCGAGATTTTAACGGACTGGAGACCTGCCAGGGCTGCCTCTGCGCAGTCAGAGCTGTCGCAAGGCTGCCGTGCAGCACGTCCCTCGTGCCTGCGGTGATGCTGGGTGAGCACAGCCGCTGTCTGCCAGTAGCATGGGAGCACGGCAGACTTATGTACGGGATGCTTGGTGACACGAATGAACAGCTGTGTTTACTATACTATGCTTTTTATCACTAGCATAGGTTTACTGCGTAATAGTACGCTGGGGCGCGGACTTGGGGCCGTGGTTAAGATGCACAGATCCCAATGGCTGACAGTGGAGTCCCAGATCCGGCAGCTAAGAAACACGCTGGGTGTGTGTGCATGTGTGCCCCAAATCTTGAGGCGGGAGAGATGGAGGGCTGAGGTGTGACCATCCCCAGTGGAGGTGCTTTCTCCTCTCCCCCCGTGTGTCGCTCTCTCTGATGAGTGCACATGTCCTCTAGCAAAAAAAAGCGAAAAACAAAGTACTGTGTCCAGCTGCAGCAGCTCCATCGTCCTGTGATTATTACATCTGTCCATTTTCTCACGTCTGGCCCACTGCAACCCTGCCAGTGGGACAGGATGTGGAGGCAGACAGCAATATGACGATTCCACTCCTGCACAGGCGAGGCTAACTGCGCCTTAGCTTTGTTTTGTCTCTATAGTCCATCCACATTTATGTCTTCCATAACTAAGAGACAGCAAGAGGGACGGCCCAGCTGTCCTCACACTGAGATCCGTCCCAGTCCTGACCAGTCGCGGATCATGGACACGCACGTAGCTGGCATTCAGGGAAATCTCTGGGTGTGACCCTAGAACCTTTCCACCTGGTCCGCCTCACAGACAGATATGCTACCACTGGGCCACCCTCTAGCATCTTATTTTTTTTTTTAATATTTTTTTCTTTATTCATGACAGAGCATATGTGCACACACGTGAGAGAGGGAAGCATCCTTCACAGGGTCTGGTCACACGGAACCCCTTTCCTCCACTTGTCATAGCTTAGGCACCTGCATGTGTCCCGGTGTGTTCCAAGCATACCAGGCCGGGGATTTGAACCATGGCCATCATGTGGGATCCGGCTTCCCATGAGCAGTGCATTACCATTACACCGCAGAGCCAGCCCTCCCCAAGTGTCTTAGTTCTTGACAAATTTTAAAAAATAAAATAAAACATTTCTAAATAGAAAAAAAGCTGATAGAAGAACGGTTACATCTTTTGGGTGCTGTTGTGCAGTCCTTGCAAAGCATTATTACAAAGTTTTAAGAAATCAAGTTTACAAAGCATAGCTATGGTGAGCTAAGGTTAATCTTCCATTGGAGAAGAAGTTTTTAATGAATTTAGTGTTACCCACGGACACTGCGTTTAGAAGGAACAGCAGCGTAAGTCTGAGACTTGCACGTTCACTCCCACTCAGACTCATGCAGAGCAACCTCCAGTCCCTAAGCTCTGGTCGTGGTGATCGCCTCATGCACGGTTAAAGCAAGCCTACACTGTATCCTTCCTGTGCCCTGTCTATGTCTTGTGTGTCTGGATACACACATACCACTGTGTTCCAGTGTCTGCAGCTTCAGTCCAGTCCTAGGCTGAACAGGCCTGCAGCCTGCGGGCTGGGTGTGCAGCGGGCACACATCGGGCTTGTGTGGGTACGCCCTGTGATGCCCGCTCAGGGTGGAGACGCTCCACAGTGCGCTGCTCGGAGGGGTCCCTGTTGGGAAGTGAGGCATTTTATACTTAGATACGCATTTCAGCTAGTTTTGATCCCAGTTTCCTTGAATATTGTTTATCTATTAAGTTAAAAAAGATACTAGAAATGGAAAACAGGGTATTTAGGAAAGTTATTCAATCTTCCCTAAATTAATCAAATACAAATGCAGAAATTCTCCATCTAAAAATGTCACATATTTTAAGTCAACTAAATGGGCACAAATATTACTTAAAACAATATAGCATGCCAAAAAAAGGTCGCTGCATGATTGTTTATTTAAAATATTATTACTCTGGGTGTAAATACATATGGGCTTACATAATTTATGATTATTCATATAAACCCTCAATTAAAAGGCTTAATTATTCATCCGCGATGCCTTTGTTATAGCACAATAGTAACTTTTCTTTGTCATCAAAAGTGTTCAAAGCCTTTTGAATCTTGATTTGTGAAGATACTAGTGAAAAATAACTTAAGCTTAGCTACATCAGACAACAGTACTGTCTGTAACGCTGACAGATTTCTCCACGGCAAAGTATCGCACGGTGATGGGCACGGGCTGTGGTGTGCACACGCCTCTGCACAGGAACACGCCTCTGCACAGGAACACGCCTCTGCACAGGACCACGCCTCTGCACAGGAACATGTCTCTGCACAGGAACACGCCTCTGCACAGGAACACGTCTCTGCACAGGAACACGCCTCTGCACAGGAACACGTCTCTGCACAGGAACACACCTCTGCACAGGAACACGCCTCTGCACAGGACCACGTGTTTGCGGTCACCTGCTCAACACAGTAAAATTACGAAATACAATGTACAAAATCTTTAACAATGTACTTTTAAGATAAAAGTATCCTGAGGATATTACAAAATTCATTTTACCAGCCCTTCATTTCTTTGCTTTATTTGACTCTTTAATTCCCAAGACAATAGTTGTCCATATTTTATTACATAAAAATGCTCTTACTTTATAGCTCCTATTAAACAAAGTATATTTAGGCTAAATAGCATATAATTGTCCCTTAAATACTTAGTCCCATCTGTCTCTAGTCTTATTGATTAAAATCAAGTATTTATCAAGTTCTCCATAATTCTGAATCAGAAAAGCACAAAACAGACAGAAATAGGGTAGCATATTTAAGTTAAAAACATTGTGCATCTTTAATATTTGGTCATACTTTATAATAAAATAATGTATTTTGGCAAAAATAATAAAATATAAGTTTTAATTTATTGTCTACTAATGGTAGATCTGAAAGGTATTTTACATTTCTGAATACTGTCTAATTCGACTGCTTTCACATTTGTTTCTAAAAACTACTACAATGTTTTAATAATTTTGAGACCAGAAGCACCTAAAAAAAGAGATAAAATAAAATTTAAGAAAAATGCTTGTATGATGCTTAAAAGTCCTTTTACAAATTCACAAACTTACTTTTAAGTGGAATATATGCCAACATAGAATCTTCAGTGCCCGCTAAGACTTATTTGACTTTAAAGAATAATCTTAAAAGTCTTTATGAACTTTGACAATTAAGATGGGAAGTCGAAAATTAAAGAAAATAAAAAGGAAAAAAGTGACCAAAAAAGGTGTTATTCTGGAGGCAGTAACTGTTATGGCACAAAAACACATAAAAAGACCTGTAGTTTTTGCATGTATATATACATACATACACACACACACTTCCACTAAGTGTGTAAGATACATACACACCCACATACATGTGTGCACCTACATACACACAACCTGGGCTCCAAAGGGGAAACTGATGGAAACTACACCACGAGCCATTTGACTCATTGACCACTTAGGTCCTAAATGACAGATTGAATGGGGACGCTCACTATTTGTTTCTTACCCAAAAATCAGTCTATCATTAATTAAGAGGAGAGGAATCTGAGATGTGGAAGTCTGAGTAAGGAAGTGAGTGTGGTGAGTTAACTGAGGAGTCTGATGAGTAACTGCCTTTACATAAAGGGTACTTCACTATGAGAGAAATCCATGCAGATCTATTTACAGAAGGATTTATCAAGTATAAGAAAACAAAACCCCTTTAATACTACAACATACTCACTAGAACATACTATAAATATGTATCATGACAGCATCACTTATACATTCTACGTTAGGCAACATCATCTCATTCTGAAGGACCTTGTTACTCTTTAAGGCATCAGTGCATGGGGGCGAAGCTCCACAGAATGAACAGGAGAACAGGAAGCGTCAGCTCACTGGTGGCATGGAGTGATCCCGTACACCATGTCTGCTGCCCACGTCCACAGCACAGGCAATACATGATACATCTCACGTGATAACGTTATAGCATAAATTTCACGTCGTTTTTCAACCCTTCGCTGAAGGGGCTAAAGTGATCTGGCAGTATTCTCATTTTCATTGTTCCATCAGCTCCACAAGAGAAAATGTGATTGGCGGGTCCTGCCTCAATTTGCATCACTCCGGTTCCAATATTCCTAAAAATGGATTGCCGAGCATGTTCATTGATGAAAGTATGGAGAAGACTAAATGTAGACAGACTCCAAATCTGGAAGATAAAAAGGACAAAATGAAAATTGGGGTTGATGATTACCTTAAGTATCCATAGGATTAGGCCTGTCCTCCTGGGAAGACAGAATTTCCAAAACAAAGATGAAGAAAAATCTGCACAGGCCTTAGATCTAAGCACCTTCATTACACTGGGTCTTCAGAAGATATATTTTTCTATGCAGAAATGTATCATGACTTTTCCAATTAATATTACCAAATACTTGAAAATTCATCCAGGGAGAGGGTGAAGGGTTACTGACCCCACACTGGAGACAGAGCACTTAGGAAGGAGAGGCAAGAGGACACGAAACCAGGCAAACGTGCAGGTTCAAAGGTAGAGAAATGGAGAGGAAAGGAGCCAGGCAAGGAGCCCTGCATCTCAGCTGGGCAGGAGCCCTGCATCTCAGCTGGGCAAGAACCCTGCATCTCAGCTGGGCATTTCTCTGCAGCTGTGCAGGGCGGTGGACCCTTCTCAGAAACACTGAGCACTCATCATGGGAAGACAGAAGCACCTGACACTTCTGTGTTTTTTTTTTTTTTTTAAGAATTATTTAACTTTATTCATTTATTTATTTTAATTTGACCAGAGAGGGACAGAGAGAAGGAAATTGAGAAAGCAAACCACCAGGTTCAGGACTTGAACCGCAGGTGGCCATGTGGAAGTCCAGCATCTTTAACCACCACGCCACCTGGAGGCCCACACCTCTGTGTTTTGATTACGAGACAAAGTCAATAAATAAGAGCAGGACACTTAGTTTACCAACATTTTGTCTTTTCAGCTATATGAAAATAAAATATTAACATTATTAACTTATTAAGTTAAATATCTCTTATTAAAATAAACATCTGTTATAAAGTAAATTTTAAGGATGTTCATTATGTGAAAGACCAACATGCCTGCAGGACATCCATTTTAGGTTTAGAGAAACCAATGAATTAATTGGCTAGCTAGCTAGTTATATTTTTTGTTATAGGAAGCGCTTGCTGGAGTGATAGAAAGAGGGAGAGAGGGGAGGGTGAGCGCGCACGGCCCGGTGGGGGGCGGGGGAGCCATGCTGCAATCCCTTCTCCAGCCTCCTGTGGGGATTTGGGGCACACATGCACAAGTGACCAGTATGCTTTTCGAGCTGCCGGGTCTGGGACTGAAACCGGTCCGGCAGGTGGGGCACAGCTGCCCTAACCTTCGCACTGTCTGGATGTCCCCAGTTTTCTCTTTATTAAAAAACTGTTGCTGCCAGAGAGCATGTGTGCTCACCAGAGGGAGGGAGAGAGAGAGAGAGGGAGGGAGAGAGAGGGAGGGAGAGGAGAAAGTACTTCCCAGCAGGGCATGGTCAGACTGCAATCCTTTCCTCTCCATTTCTCTACCTTTGAACAAGCACACACATGCGCCTAGCATATTTTTCAAGGTGCCAGGGCTCAGATTTGAACTGTTCTGCTGGTCGTGTGGAATATGGCGGCCTTAACCACTAGACCATGCAGGCAGCCAATCCATTTATTTCTTGATTTTTATTTTCCTAACCAACTGGGTTTTATTTGTTGCATAAAAAGCTACCTAACATCTTTCAGGTAAAAACAAACAAACAAAAACCAAAAAAACACTAAATTTGAATAAAGATATCACAAAATGAATTAGAGCTCAATTAAAATTAGCTTTGGGGAGGGAACACAATTCTACTCAATTTAGGAAAACTTTTTTTTTTTGAGAGGTTTTTGCTATAGGGCGCGTGCGCTCGCCAGACAGAGACAGACAGAGAGACAGAAAGCAAGAAATCACCCCCCAGGGGGGATGGCCACGCTGCAATCCCTTCTCCTCCATTCTCCTCTCAGGATCCTGGGCACGCACACACGTGCGCCCGGCGTGAGTTTTAAGCCACTGGGTCCAGGATGCGAACCGCAGTCGACTATGTGGGAGTCCAGCGACATAGCCATTATGCTAGCTGCTGGTCCCGATTAGTTTATTTTTAACATCCATCACACCACAAATTCATAGGGAATAGGTTCTAGAAGCTCAGGCTCTGACTCTCACAAAGTGTGCTTCTCTGGGTGGGGCAGCTGGCCCTTCAGTTGAACCCAGGGACTTTTCTCTTTGGCTTCTTTTTCTAGTCATTTTCCTTCACACACTTTAGGACACTGTCTCTGCTCTTAGAATGCTTAATATGCTCAATACGCACATTAATTCTCTTGGCAGGAATCTTGCCCTTACCTTGTTTGCTCACAGCAATGCCAACAGCATGCTGGGTAACACTGTAGAGGCTCCCAGTTTTGCCACGGTCACATTTGTGGGGCACTCCTTTTTCAACAGTACCTGTTCCCTCTATGTCTACAACATCACCTTTCTTGTAGATTCCTATGTGTGTTGCCAGAGGAATCACTCCATGTTTTCAAAAAGGCCTAGAGAACATACATCAGGTGCTTCTCCTCTTTCTCTTTGAGTACTTCATCTTGGTTAATTACTGGAAGACGGCAGTTCCGCCCAAAGGCTAGTTATTTCATGGAGATCACACTTACTTTTTTTTTTTAAAAAAACAAACAAACAAAAACCCCTTTTTTTAACCTAAGTAATCGATTAATTCAAACTGCAATGAACATAAATTTGTTAAATTATGGCTTCTGAACACATTCTGTATCTTCCACTCTTTTTTACTTGATTAGATGACACACTTTAGAATCAGTACAAACTAAAGAACTACTCTAAAGCAGACTACCTTATTCTAAGCTGAAGGCAGTCCAAGAAGCTAGTGTTAAACTGAAAGTAAATCACTGTTGGTATAGATGCTTGATTTTTACAAAAGCCTGTTCACAATACTATTTATTCAAGTCTCTTTCTAGCTGAGAATTAGAAAATTAATTTGCTTGTTCTAACAAAGAAGTCCATCTTTTTTTTTTTCCAGGAGAGGTTTTTGCTATAGGGCACATGCGCTGGCCAGAAAGACAAGAGAGAGACAGAAAGTGAGAAATCACCCCCTGGGGGGGATGGCCATGCCGCAGTTCATTCTCCTCCATTCTCCTGTCAGGATCTTGGGCAAGCATGCACACGCGCCGGGCATCAGTTTAAGTGACTGGGTCTGGGACTTGAACCGTGGTCGACTACATGGGAGTCCAGAGACATAGCCATTATGCCAATTGCTGGTCTCCAAAGAAGTCCATCTTAATAGCACTAGTGCTTAATCATGAATTCTTAGAAGTTAGCCTCCTCAAGTCCAAGAGGTTGCTCACTATTATTAAAATAAAAGGGACTAGACTAGTCTGAACTGACATCAATTTCTAAATGGGGCCAGAAATCAAAATCACTAACTATGTGCTATAAACATGCAGATTCTGGAGGAGAATTTCTGGGGTGGGACTCAGCAATTTTTATTTTTAATAAGGTACTTAATTTTTTTTTTTTTTTTGAGGTTTTTGCCTTAAGGCCTGTGCACTTGCTGGAGAGAGAGAGAGACAGAAACAGTGAGAGGGAAAGTGAGAAATCACCCCCTGGGGGGATGGGCATGCTACAATCTATCCTCCTCCTGAGATCCTGGGCACACATGCACATGTGCCTGCTGTGAGTTTCAAGCCACCAGGTCTGAGACTTGAACTGTGGTCAGCCATGAGGGAGTCCAGTGACATAACTGCTGTGCTGTCTTCTGGCCCCAATTTTTTTTTTAAAGAATTATTTTATTTAACTTTCTTTTCTTTATTCTTTTCTTTCTCTCTCTCTCTCTCCTTTATTTAAATTTGACCAGAGAGGACAGAGAGAGAAGGAGGAGGAGGGAGGGAGTGAGGGAGGGGTGGGGAAGAGAGTGAGAGAGAGAGAGAGAGAGAGAGCGAGTGCACAAACTGCCAGGTCTGAGACTTGAACTGCAGTGGGCCTTAATCACTACACCACCTGCCGGCCCCATGCCCCCATTTTTAACAAATTGTCAGAGTGCTGGGACCAGCAGTTAGCATAATGCCTATGTCGCTGGACTCCCACGTAGTTGACCGTGGTTTGCGACCCAGACCCAGTGGCTTAAAACTCACGCCCGGCGCGTGTGCATGCGTGCCCAAGATCCCGAGAGGAGAATGGAGGAGAAGGGATTGCGGCATGACCATTCCCCCTGGGGGTGATTTCTCGCTTTCTGTCTCTCTGTCTCTGTCTGGTGAGCATACGCACCCTATAGTGAAAACCTCTCCAAGAAAAAAAAAATTGTCAGAGTGCTAATGTGCTCACCAGGCATAGCGAGAAGAAAATGCACTCCCCAATGGGGGATGGTCACACAATCCCTTCTCTTCCATTTATTCATCCCACAGGATTTGGAGCATACACATACATACACACGTGCCCAATGTGTTTTAAGTCACCAGGCTGGAATTCAAACACATGTGGGATTCTGGGTCCCCTAACTGCTAGCGTACAGGGCTGGCCCCTGTTAAATGTTTTTAAACCAGGTGCTTATTAATATTTTGAACAACCTAACTTTTAAACAGTACGTTTTGAAAAGGCCTGTTGTAACAGAATTCTTGAATTAGACATTAGTGGCTGGACAGTGATGCTACATATGAAAAATAGAAAACAATGTGGGGTTAAAAAAAAAACGATGTATTTCTCAGCACTTGAAAATTCAGTAAATTATATAACTCTGAACACAGAATCAAGACTAACTCTAAGGGTAGCAGGTGGTGTGGTGGTTAAGGCACTGGACTCCCGCGTGGTCGACTGTGAGTCGAGCCCCAGACCTGGCAGCTTACTTTCTTACTCACTCGCTCGCTCTGTCTCTCTCTCTCTGTGTTGAGTGTATATGCCCTATACCAACTTAAAATAATAATAATAATAAATTAAATAAATAATTCTTCTTTAAAAAAGGCTAATTCTAGTGTTTGAAATATGTGAAATAGTCATGGAAAATTTCTCTAGCACGAATGAAGCATATATTAAATCAATTGAAAAACAGAACATTTTAATGTTACAATAAATATGATTTTATACATTGAAAGATCTACTCAACAGTAGATCTGTTTCTAAATAGACTGCTGTCATCAGTCTCACTTAAAGTCGGAAGACTTCTTTATTTGGGACATCACTGTGTCTACCTTGATGTTGCCTTCAGCAGACCCTGTAACAAAGTACTCTTCCGTCGGGTCCACGGCAATGGCTTTCACAGGAGAATCGTGGCTCTGAAACAGCTGCCTCTGCTGTCGCTGGCGAAGGTCGAACACACACGTGAAGCCTTTCCTGCCCCCTGAGAGCAGGAGCTGATGCTTTGGGGCATATGCTAAAACTGTGGCCCCACTATCATGGCAGGTAAAAGCTGGAAGTTAAAGGGAAAAAAAATTAATAAAAAAAGAAACAAACCACTGGCTTTTGGACAAGAAGGAGCAACAGACCAGATTTGTTCTCCTGCCTGAAACAATTTTTAAAAATCGAATGAAATATAGCAAACAATGGCCTGAGACCTGGACATCAGCAAAGAAGAAGAATGTTCTCTGAGATGGGAGCCGACCAGGGGCTGTCCCCACCCCTCACCCCCACCCCTCACCCCCACTCCCGTCCTGGCTTATAGACCACGGAGTTTTCTGGCCATGCACAGGAGGAGGAACCCCTGCTGAGCTAGGTTCCATACCCGCCAGCTAGAAAACCTCAAAAGGGGTTGCTCAGTAGCTGGGTTAAATCAGCCCTAGATCAAATGCTGCTTTCGTCCTGTTTGACAAAGGCCCCCAAACTCAATTGTTTCCGAATAAGTTAGCCTTGCCCCAGACTAAAGTTCAAGAATATTTATAGAATATAAAAAACAGTCAGCGCCTAAATCAGAATGCCTGGCATCTGATTAAAAAAATTAACCAGGAATGCAAGAAGCAGGAAAATGTAACCCATAGGAAAAAGGAAAAGCCATCAATCAAAAGTAACCCAGAGGTGACATAGATAATAGGATTAATAGATAAGGAAATTAAAAGACATTATAACTGAACCCCATCTGTTCAAGAAGCTGGATGAATGGTTAAGTACAGATGTGAAAGATCCAAATCAAAATTCTAGAGATTAAAACTGCAGCACTCAAGATGAAAGGTACACTGGATGAGATTAACAGCAGATCAAGCACTGCAAAAGAAAAGATAATGAAGACACAGCAACGAAGTATCAGAAATATAGAAATATTAATAGAATTAATATCTTTCTTTAAAGATGTCCAGCCTAACAAATTTTAGAGACAAAATCTATAGATAGCTCAAAGAAAATACGGCAGAAATAAGAGTAAGGATTCTGGAATTAGATTGCTCGGATTTAAATCTTCCTTTTTGTCTGTGTTTAAAATGTATACCTTAGGGCCAGCAGGTGGTGTAGCAGTTAAGGTGCTGGATCCCACATGGCTGACCACAGTTCAAGGCCTGGACCTGGTAGCCTGAGAATCATGCTGGGCACATGTGCATGTGTTCCCAAAATTCTGAGAGGAAGATTGAGGAGAAGGGATGGCAGCATGGCCATCCCCCTGAGGGAGGAGGGTGAATGCTTGTTTTCCCTCTTTATGTCTCTGTTTCTGGTGAGCACACATGCCTTATTGCAAAAACCTGAAGGAAAAAAAAGTGTACCTTAGGTGAATTATTTACCTAAATCTCAGTTTCATTATTTGGAAAAAAGGAGATATCACCTACCAAATAGTTATGTGAGGGTTCAATTAGTTCATATATATATAAGGCATGTATAACATATACTAAGTATTCAGTAAAATTTAGTTATTATAAGAATCCAAATAAAACTTATTATGAAAAGGCATTTTTGAATTTTAACAGCATTTTGAGATATAATTTTTTGATAATAAAACACAATTAAGTATATGCCTTGATGACTTTTGACAAATGGACACATTGGTGTAACCATCACTCACATCAAGATATAGAAGAGTTTCATCGTCCCAGAAGGTCTCATATCCCTCTAAGGTCAACCCTCAAAGAGGAATCACTATTCTGACTTTTATCCCATTATTCTGCCTGTTCTTGACCTGCATGTATAAAGAACCTTATAGCATACATTCATTTTTCCCTGGCTTCTTTCTTTCAATGTGGTGTTTTAGAGGTTAATAATGCACATTATCTGGTGTATCAGTAAGTCATTTTTAAAAATGGTTGAATAGTATTCTATTACGTAAATATATCAATTTCCTGTTGGACATCTGTGTTTTTTCCAGGTTTGGCTAATATTAGGTCATTTTCTATGCAAAAATGCATCAGGCCTTTTCTTCAATGACCCGATATAAAGCTACTAAGGACATTCTTTTTTTTTTTTTTTTTGGAGAGATTTTCACTGTAGGGCGCGTTCGCCCCCCAGACAGACAGAGAGAGACATAGAGACAGAAAGCGAGAAATCACCCCCCAGGGGGGATGGTCATGCC